CTTCATCTTTCAATTAACTCTAGAAAACAAATAATTTCCGATTCCATCGAGTTTACAAGATGAGAAATCCGATTTAAAGATGCATGCAAGATTCTATCATCCGAGAATATGATCAGACCTCGCATGCAAAGATTCTTTCCTTCTTTCTTAGAGATTAAAGAACATGGGTCAYAGATTATCATCTCAACRAAGACACTTGCAGGTCTTTGATGAATAATCTCTCCTCTTTAAATCTCATAAATTTTTCTTAAAGAATCGAGAAAGGGAAAAAGATGAAAACTTTCGGACTTCTAAGAAAATAGGACAGCTCTAAAACATACCTTTTCTTGACAGAAAGCCTCGAACAGACTCAAGAAGAGCAAAATCTTTTAAGTTTACAAGGAGATTAGAACCGGGTGGAATGTGATGGCATTAGAAAGAGAGAACAGAAAGCTGGAAATTTGGAGAATGAAGATTTTCAAAGAGAAAAGGGTATTAATATGGGGCTTTTTGAGAGGAAATGGGCTGACCTCTAAAAGCCCAAGCCCAAGATATTTTTATTATTTTTTTAAATAATAAAACCCCACTATTTTAACCAAACAAAATAATTTGCCAAAAGATTTTAAAAAAAACTCCACTCTTTTAAGTTAATTGGCAACTAAATATAAAAAGAATGGAACTTTGGAATTTTTAAATTTTTAAAGAGAACGAAACTTAAATATCTACTTTATTTTATGTAAAACATTCTAAGACTATTTGACATTGCATAAACTAACTTGGTTAGCTACCCGACGAAATGTGATCTAACAAACTAATCTTGGGAATTAAGGAAGATGATCTCTAATCATCAAAGTTAAATCCTAGAAATACTTAGTTTTCATTAAAGATCCTGAAATAAGGTACTAACCTGAAATTCAAAATGCAGGATTGTCACAGTCTCCCCAAGCCAGAAAAATTTCGTCCCGAAATTTAATCGTCAATTTCAAATCATGGTTGGTTTTGAGAACATTTGGGGATATTTGCTTTTCATGAAGTCTTCCCTTTCCCACATGTACTGCGGTCCATACTTCGAGTTCCAATGAACTTTTACTATAGGGATCCTGCTATGCCTCAATTGCTTAACCTCTCTATCCATAATTTCTATGGGTTTTTCCAYAAAATGCAGTTGATCGCTAACTTRCACGTCCCCCAGTGGCACCACTTGAGTTTCRTCTGTTAGKCATCTCTTGAGATTTGATACAWGKAATGTGTTATGGATAGCGSTTAACTCYGGGGGTAAATTTAACCTGTATGCCACTGGTCCAATCCTTTCTRTTATTTCAAAGGGGCCAATATATCGAGGACCCAACTTGCCTCTCTTTCCAAAACGCATTATCCCTTTCCATGGTGAGACCTTTAGAAAAACTTTATCTCCTTTCTGGAACTCTAACGGTCTCTTCCGATTGTCAACATAGCTTTTCTGACGATCCCTTACAGTTTTGAGTCGATTTTTGATTGCTATAATCTTATCTGTAGTTTCTTGGATAACATCTGGTCCAGTTAATTGCCTATCGCCAATTTATGACCAACACAATGGGGATCTACACTTGTGCCCATACAAAGCTTCATAAGGCGCACACTGGATGCTGGTATGGTAGCTATTATTGTAGGCAAATTCCACTAACGGAAGATGCGTGTCCCAGCTTCCACCAAAATCTATAACACAGGCGCGGAACATGTCTTCCAGAGTCTGAATTGTTCTTTCGGTTTGTCCATCAGTCTGGGGGTGATAAGAAGTGCTAAGATCCAGTCGTGTACCCATCCCTTGCTGGAGCGATTGCCAAAACCTTGACGTAAAACGACTGTCTCTATTTGATATAATGGAAATAGGTACTCCATGCCTAGCGATGATTTCGTTTATATAAATTTGAGCCAACTTTTCCATCKTATAATCCTCTCGGATTGGTAAGAAATGAGCAKATTTCGTCAATYGATCTACAATCACCCAAATGGCATCGTGCCCCTTTCCAGTTCAGGGTAATTTAGTTATAAAGTCCATCGATATTTGTTCCCAYTTCCATTGAGGAATTTCAGGTTGCTGGAGCAGACCGGAAGGTTTCTGATGTTCRGCCTTGACTATTGCACAARTTAAGCACTTATTTACATATAGTGMAATGTCTTTCTTCATTCCAGGCCACCAATAATGTGCTCTTAATTCCCTATACATCTTATCTGCTYCCGGGTGAATCGAATATTTTGATCGATGGGCTTCGTCTAGAATGATTGATCTAAGATTRCCAATCTTAGGTATCCAAAGTCTATTTCCTAAATAATACACCCCATCAGCCTTTATTTGAAATTTGGACTCTATACCWTGCAGGATCTYGCTCTTCAAGTTTTCCTTCTTTAGAGCTTCCTTTTGACCCTCTAGGATTTGGGYCTTCAAACTGGTATTCACCAAGGCTCCCAAAGCTCGTACCCTTGTTGGTTTTATCCCTTCCTTTCGGCTCAAAGCATCGGCTACAACATTGGCTTTGCCTGGATGGTATTTAATCTCACAATCATAATCATTGAGGAGTTCAACCCACCTCCGCTGCCTCATATTCAGCATCTTCTGATTGAGGATGTGTTGAAGGCTTTTATGATCGKTGTAAATGGTGYATTTGGTSCCGTAAAGATAATGCYTCCATATCTTAAGTGCAAATACTACTGCTCCCAACTCAAGGTCGTRCRTAGTATAATTCTTCTCATGCACTTTAAGTTGTCTCGAGGCRTATGCAATGACCTTATCTTTTTGCATCAATACGYATCCTAAACCTTGATGYGATGCATCACAAAAGACCACGAAGTTTTTCGAACCCTTTGGTAAGGATAATATAGGTGCATTGCATAGTTTCTGCTTGAGAGTCTCRAATGCTTCCTCTTGTTTCTCACCCCAAATAAATTTCTTGTCCTTCTGGGTTAAGGCTGTGAGCGGCTGTGCAATTTTCGAAAAGTTTGCGATGAATCGCCGGTAATAGCCTGCTAACCCAAGGAATTGGCGGATCTCTGTAGGGGCTCTTGGGGCTTCCCAATTCCTAATGGCCTCAATCTTGGCAGGATCTACCTGAATTCCTTTGTTATTGACTATATGGCCCAGAAACTGGACTTCCTGTAACCAGAATTCACATTTGGAAAATTTGGCATACAACTTCTCATTTCGGAGTACTTCCAAAATTACCCTCAGATGTCGCTCATGATCTTCTCGGCTTCCTGAATAAATGAATATGTCGTCTATGAAGACGATTACGAATTTACCAGGTACGGCCTACAAACTCTATTCATTAGGTCCATGAAAACGGCTGGTGCATTGGTTAGCCCGAATGGCATATCCATAAATTCGTAATGACCGTATCGGGTCCAGAAGGCTGTTTTGGGAATGTCCTCTTCCCGAACSCTCACCTGGTGATACCCGGATCGCAAGTCAATCTTGGAAAAATAGGCTGCCCCTTGAAGTTGATCGAACAGGTCATCGATTCTAGGGAGAGGGTATCTATTCTTGATGGTCAACTTATTAAGTTCCCTATAATCAATGCACATTCGCATTAACCCATCTTTCTTTTTAACGAATAGTACCGGTGCAACCCAGGGTGAGTAACTTGGTCTTATGAATCCTCGTTCTAGTAACTCCTGGAGTTGGGTCGACATTTCCTGCATTTCCGAAGGTGCCAAGCGGTATGGTGCCCTTGCCACCGGGGCAACTTCAGGGATTAAGTCGATACCGAATTCGACTTGCCTTTGTGGGGGTAGGCCTGGTAAGTCTTTAGGAAAAACATTGGAAAAGTCCCGAACTACAGGTAATTCCTCAATACTTTTCTCCTTGATCTTTCCATCAACCACATGTGCCAGGTATGCAGTGTAAATCTTCTTCAGATACTTCTGCATTTTCATGCAGGATACCAGCTTAATCCTTCGATCCAACTTGTCTCCCTGAACTACAATTTGTTCCATTCCATCTTGAGGAATTCGAATGAGCTTCTCTGAACATACAATTTCAGCTTGGTTTTTGGATAGCCAATCCATTCCTACAATTATGTCGAACCTTCCTAGTTCGATCGGTATAAGGTCTATGCTAAAGTCCTTATTAGCTAAATTCAGAGTGCAATTCGTAAATACGCTTCTAGCTTTGAATTCCTGACCATTGGCAAACTCGATTACAAAGGCTTCTTTCAATTTATGGGGTTTTAAGTTAATCTTCTGCTTAAAGTCTAGTGACACAAAACTTCTGTCTGCCCCTGAGTCAAATAGAACCGATGCAAATTCATTATTTAGAGAAAACGTACCTGAAACCACGTTGGGGTCCTCTCTAGCTTCCCTGACTCCCAATTCAAATGCTCTGCCTCGAGCTTGACTTCCTGAGTTGCCGGAACTGATCTGCCGGGTCTGGTTTGCATTTGCCCCTGCTTTCCTTTTTGGGCAAACAATCCTTATGTGGTCTGGACTTCCACAGTCGAAACATAACCGCTTCCGACAGTCCTTTGCCATGTGACCCCCTAGATGACACCTTTGGCAGATGACGCAATTCCCCCGATGCAGAAATTTGCACTTATTGCATCTAACTGCGTCATCTTGTCCTACCATGTGCGTTTGAGCTCCAAAATTCCTTGTTACTCTCCGGCTTCTGTCAAACTTCCCTCCAATTCTTCGATCTCCATGCTCCTCCATCTTTCGCTTTCCTTTAGCAAATCCCCCGGATCGCACAGCATTATTCGTGAGCTTTGTGGCAATTTCTATTGCCTCCTGAAGAGTCTTTGGGTTGGCCGAGGTTATGTTTCCCCTAATTTTTGGAGACAATCCCCAAATGTACCTTTCTATTCGAACTTCCTCTGGTGTCACAAGGTGCGGCACCAGGTTTGCCAATTCATGAAATCTTGCTGTGTATGCAGATATATTGTCTCCTTTCATTTCGAGGTTCCATAACTCCATTTCCAGCTTTTTGGAGTTCACTTCTCGGGCAGTATTCATCCTTTAACAATTTCTTAAATTCTTCCCAGGAGAGTTGATTAGCCGCTTCCCGGCCTCTGGTTTGTACTAAAGCATTCCACCAAGTGAGCGCCCTTCCTTGCAATAGGCATGCCGCATACTCTACCTTATTTCCTTCAGTACATTTGCTGATGTGAAGAACAGACTCCATGCTCTAGAGCCATGATAGTAATCCTACTGCTCCTTTGGTTCCATTGAATTCTTTGGGGTTGCAAGCTCTAAAAGTCTTGTAAGTGCATTCTCGTGGAGGCCTAGACTCAGAGTTTGAGGGTTGGTTGGCATTCAAGCTAGCAGCCACTTGGCTGACTATATTGGAAAGTGCGGCAATAAGTTGATCTGACACGAGTTGCGCTATATCGGGATTCTCCCTCTTTGGCGGCATTTCTTTAGATCCTAAATTAGAGTGGATTTCGTAAGTTGATGGCAAAGCAAGAGTGATAACTTCCCAGATATTTCGATGATACCAAAAGTGTTCTTCACAGGGAGGAATATCAGGTATTATTGTAACCAAAATAGAGTGAACTCATTCGTACAATAAATTAACATAACAAGCATTCATCAAAAATTGTTCATGCATTGATATTTGATGACAAGTACAAAATAGGGTCTCTAGCAACGGAACAAAAGAGTGAGTATTCTATTCTTAATTCTCCTTCTAGAACAACATCCAACCTATAGCTATTCCCAATGCCAACATCATCATACCACAAACTACCAACCACCTATACAACCTCCTAATTTCCCGCCTAGCGGTCACAGCAGTCTCTCTGTTTTTGATTATGCTCTGGTGGTGTGCTTCCATCACATCTGACAGGTTGTTGAGGATGTGATGGTGATATCCCAGTCGGGTCCGATGCACTTGTGTATCGGATGCAATTCTCCTTACCCAGCCTATTTCTGCCGAATTCATGCCTCGGGTGCAGGATGCAGGTACCCCGGTTACCACTTGGGTTATTWTGTTCCCCAGCTGAGGTCGGGATGACTCCCCTATGACCCTAGTAGAGTCTTCGAACRTCACACGCTGTGGTAGTGGAACACTCTTCCTAGGCGTAACCCTTATCCTTGGGCCATGATAGGTTCGTGGCGGAACATCGGGTACTGGCTCTACTGGAGGTAGGATGGATGCTYGAGGAGTGGCTGCTGCTTCACTAGTCGTTGTATCTTGTTTGTACGGGTCTATCTCCTCATCGCGGGCTAAGTTCCTTCTGGAGCGACCGACCACGTAACCGGACTCATCGGCTGAATACTCACTRGGATYRGATGACATCGTAGAGATCTGCGTCATGAATAATCTTAGTTACTAAAGTGCATCCTCTTAGCAAAAGCTTAGTGATTCAATAGAAGCTTCTAAACAAAACTAAGTCATGACAATCATGCTGGATTCTCTGGACGACACTTCTGGTTACACTACCAGAGCATTTGGTCGTGAGACCAGAGCCTCTGGTTGTACTAAAGTCCTTAGAAGGATTTCTTATCCATCGGTCTTCTGACAATCCAATGGAATTCTATCTTTATCAACCATTGGCCTTAACCTTCATACTTAGAATAATTATAGATCTTTCGTCCATCTATCCTCTGGTTCCTCCTGAAGCAATTACCAGAGCTTCTGGTAACAAGGCCAGAGCCTCTGGTTCTTCATGGTGCATTTACCAGAGCTTCTGGTTGCGATACCAGAGCCTCTGTGGCAACATCTAAACTTAAATTCTAAAAAAAATCCGTCCATCGATCCTCTGGTTCTTCATGGTGCATTTACCAGAGCTTCTGGTTGCGATACCAGAGCCTCTGTGGTAGCATCTAAACTTAGAGATTCTAAAGATCCGTCCATCGATCCTCTGGTTCTTCATGGTGCAATTGCCAGAGCTTCTGGTCTTCTTGACCAGCGCCTCTGGTCCTACACGGACACTTAGCGAAAAATTCGAGCAATCTATTTTCCATTGCCTCTGGTCTTCTTGACCAGCGCCTCTGGTCCTACACGGACACTTAGCAAAAATTCGAGCAATCTATTTTCCATTGCCTCTGGTCTTCTTGACCAGCGCCTCTGGTCCTACACAGACACTTAGCGAAAATTCGAGC